CACATTACAAATCTCTTGGTAGATACACGTACCATGTACTTACTCCAACGCAAAACACAAGCATGCCATAGGAATTATCTCCTCGGAGAGCCCAAACCCGGGTAAGATCCATATGTCTCCGTTACCCTCATTCCAAGACACCTAACTTAGGATCCTATACTTTGAGATCTGCCGGATTTAGCTGAAGGCACCGGTCTGCAACACATCTTCATGGCTAGCTAGCATGTGCATTTTGTGGACTGAGCAGCCCACCTCTCTGTTCTGCTCAAGGTGTTCACCTCGCGCTGTCTAGCGTGTACATAACCCCGTGTAACACCAAACCCTTGTTCCCTTCACTTTATCTATCAACAGAGGAAGATACGTAAACTTTGCGTATGCGTGAAAAAAGTAGTTCTTCAGGAGGGGAGACCTTAGTTTTTTAGTGTTATTTTGCGGACCGTTGTTGCTCGGCTCCGGATCAAGTTTTTTTGCTAGAATTCTCGTCCAACTTTATTAATTCAACAAAATATTCATAGGTGCATCGTTTGGATCATGAGGGTTCCTCAACCAAATATGATGACCTATGTCCAGATTACATGCGAACTTGGCGAGATTATGAGCTTCAAAATTGAAGTTCATATGATCGAAGATAAATTTACAATAATGAAAACCAACACTACGCTCATTAATTTCCTATAGAATTGCACCATGTCTTCCACTGCCTCTCTACTCGATATCCTTCACCACTCCCTGACAGTCGGTAGCCACAGAAAAGTGTTGAGCTTGATCCCATATCATACGCAAGTGCCATAGCTTTTATTGCCCAAAATGCTTTGTGTTCTAACTCAAGAGCTAAATGGCAAGCTTTTCCATAAACCATTTTATATGGAGACATACCCATAGGATTTTTGTAAGCTGTTATATAAGCCCAAAGTGCATCTTCTAATTTATTAGACCAATTCTTCCGGGACCTATTAACAGTCTTTTGTAAGATTAGTTTTATTTCTCTATTACTAAGTTCAACTTGACCACTAGACTGAGGATGATAAGGTGACGCAATTCTGTGATTAACATCATATTTAGCAAGCATCTTACGGAAAGCACCATGAATGAAGTGTGAACCACCATCAGTCACTAAATATCTAGGGACTCCAAACCTTGGAAAGATAACTTAAGCATTTTAATAGAGGTGTTGTGATCAGCACTACTGGTTGGAATAGCTTCTACCCATTTAATAACATAATCAACAGCAACCAAAATATATGTATACCCATTAAAGGAAGGAAAAGGTCTCATAAAGTCAAATCCCCAAACATCAAATGGTTCAACAGCAAGTGAATAATTCATAGGCATTTCTTGACGCTTACCGATATTACCTATTCTTTGCACTACAAAAAAAATACACTTCCATGATGATACGTGTTTGTCACAGTAGGTCACGTTCTCTGTCATGCATGTACATCCATGACAATTTTATAACAGAATCAAGATAGTCATAACCGTGTTGTCGTAGAAGTGTTCCATGACATTACCAAAATTATCATCATGGAAGTGTCCACTTCCATGACGATAAATTGCGTGTCATAGAAGTGCTTTCATCAAGGGTGACCGACACGTAGCATCCACCATAACGGCTCACCGTTAAGCTATCGGGTCCAGTTTTGGATCCGATAACCAGTTAAAAGGCCGGAGCAATGGTAATTTTCTACGTGTAAAATTCTCATTGGCCGGAGGAAACACGTGTCTGCTCCTCGATGGGCCAAATGTCGCCCGTCCATTAGAGGAGACATGCCTATGATACTTCGACACGTGGTAGGACCCAACAGAGGCCCATATAGGTTAAAAAGGCCAGCCCAGTCATAGGCCCGTAGTACTTACTCAGGTACTAGTGGGCCAGCCCAATAACGACCTGTTTAATAAAGGCCCATTTACGGCCCGAAGCCAGATCTGGCCCATTAGTTATTCGCCGAATATTTCAGCCCAATTACAGCCCAGTGACTTTCAGCCTGTTAGAGGCCCGATGTAGACATGGGCTCATTTCAGCCCGGTGTGTCTTTCGGCCTTGGAATGGCACGTGCTGCCCATGGGCCATATATGGTCTGGCACGACATCCGACCCACTAACGACCCGTGATAAAGGTGGCAACAATTTAGCCTGACGTGACTTTGGGCCTGTCGTATAATTCGGCACGTTGATGCCTGTACTAAGCTTTCGGTCTCTTAAATGCCCATGATATCAGTGGGCCAACTAAGGCCTGAGATATGTTTCGGCCTGGTAACGTCCCGTCATATAACTGGGCCAAAAAAGGCCTGACCTACATTTCAGCCTGCTGAAGGCCCGTCGACGACTAGTGAAAATTGAGGCCCAACATGCATTTCGGCCTGCTAAAGGCCCATGGTTTCTTCTGGGCTGTAACATGCCAGTAGAATATTCAGCCTGTTAATGGCCCAACGCTACCTGGGCCAAACTAAGCGCTGGGTCCTTAAAAGGCCCAACTAAAATTTGGGCCGAATATAGGCCGAAGTAAGTTGTGGGCCTGGCGCAAAGTGTGAAGGCCCCAATCATTCGGACCCAAGAAAGATGCAGGCCGGCCCAATTGTGGCCCACTAAAAACCAGGCCCGTTAGAGGTGAATGTTTCGGACCGATCAACTACATCAGATTTTTTTTCAAATAGCGAATGATGGCAGTAACTAGTAGGAATTAAGAACAAACCTACTCTATAAAATAAAGAAATTATGGCATAGTAACTTAGAATAAACCTACACTATACAATAAAGGATTTATGGTATATTACATCCACTGGGCATCGAAGTTCGCCACCAGTGATCATAAAGCGCAACGAAGAAGCAGATTACAAAAACTAGGCACCATTGCAGCGTAACAAAATAATACTGAACCGAGACCACTTCTAAGACAGTTCAAGAAACGTTAGCCTTGCACGGGAACTGTTGCGCAAGCTGCTGAGCAAGGATGTGAGACCGTCCTAGCATGTCGGTCATAGCTTCCAGGTGTAGCTATTTAGCAATGAGGTTCTCATTGGTGTTCTCCGCAATCTTTCTTAGAGATAGGACTTCAAGTCGAAGTTGAGTTGCAGAATGCCTTTCTGCTAGAACTTGGGACTGAAGAAGTTGAACTGATTCAGACAACAAATTCTGTGAGCTTGTCTGACTGCTAGTCTCAAGTAACTTGAACACTGCATCAAGGCAAGACTTTGGGGTTGTCTCGCTATCTTCAAGATGTTTTGCCTTCTTTGCTACAATATATGTTGGGTTTGTCTCACAGCCTTCAGCAGACTTGTGTATGCCATCAGGCATATCACCTTGAAACAAGCAGAGAGATGACAGGTTTTGCACGTGTATAAACAAAGATGATAACTGTGTTGTCAATTCCATCCAATTTCAAATTAGAAAATAAAGAGTAAGTTC